ATTTTTTTTTTTCTTTTTGGTCTAGGAAATCCAATTTTCAATATGAGGTCAGGATTATAAGCAAATCCTTCTGATGCTTCCTTCTCTTTGTTGCCCCTCTCTCCGTTTCATTGCTTACTTAGGAAGAAATGCAGAAGGAAAGATGACGAGAAAGAAACTGTCTGGAGTTCACTTCAAGAGACTCAGTGTCTTTATTTTCGAAAACCATCAGAATCCAGGGAAGAAGCTGTGAAGTTGCCTGAATATGAACTGCAGTTTTGACCCCGGGCAACTTTTCAGAGGATAAGTACCTGGGAGGGTGAATAAAATGAGTAACAATTTTCAGAGGCTAAATAGAGAGGGATCTGTATACCAACAACACAGACACAGGAAATTTCTGACGGATCCTGGACCGCCCTCCGGGAGTGAAGGGTACCCCACACTCAGGTCCCCCATCCCCCTAAATGTCCACTCTCAGGGGACCTCCGCACACACTGGCCACTGCTTCTCTCCTGGACACAAAAGGCCACTGTCCCGATGCCAGGAGGGTTGGGGGTGTCAGCAGCCTCAGAGGTGGACACAGCTTCAGGGGCAGCAGGACACTCAGGGAAGAAAGAAATATGTGAACTCTCATGGACTCTCTGTAATAGGAGAGTGCGGAGGTGATGGGCTCCCATAGCAGGGTGTGGCCCCCAGCCCTGCTCAGCTGCCTCCACCAGGGGTGTTCACTGGCCCCCATTCTCACACCCCAGAAGATCATCCCAGATGCGCTCACATCCCAGCCGAACAGTGCTGTGTGCTCTTGAGAATAGCTGTCCTGCAACAGGATGGATGCTGAACACTAGCATTGGAATCTTAGTTTATCAAAGTACTTCATTAAATTTGCCCCAAAATTCTAGAGTTTCAGCTCTAAATAAAATTAACAATTTTTATTTAAATATTTAATATCTGTTATCTGAATTGCACATTTTAATTTTTAGTCATTTTAAAATATTTTATAAGAGAAATAACTTTGAAGCATCGTTGAATTTTTTTTATTTTTAACTTTTATGTTTTCGATAAAAACTCTATTAAAATTTCTCATACCGGCCGGGAGCAGTGGCTTACACCTGTGATCCCAGCACTTTGGGGGGCCGAAGCAGGTGGATCACAAGCTCAAGAGATCAAGACCATCCTGGACAACATGGTGAAACCCCATCTCTACTAAAAATACAAAAATTACCTGGACGTGGTGGCGTGCAACTGTAGTCCCAGCTACTCAGGAGGCTGAGGCAGGAGAATGGCTTGAACCCAGGAGATGGAGATTGCAGTGAGCCGAGATTATGCCACTACACTCCAGCCTGGTGACAGAGCGAGACTCTGTCCAAAAAAGAAAAAAAGAAAAGAAAAAAAATTCTTATGCCTTGGATACAATAATATTTTACTTGTCAGTCCTTTAAATCAGGTGTTGCAAAACATATTTTTCTAAAAGGCCGAGGCCTGGTGACCATGGCCTCTGCCACAGCCATTGACTCTGCAGAGTGGGGAGGAGTCAGCCATAGATGATACATCACAAAATGGGAATAGCCATTTTCCAATAAAACTTTATTTACAAAACAGGTATCTAGTCCAAGAGCGGCTGACTCTGAGTCCATCATTACTCAATAGAAGATAACTTATGTGACAACTTTGATTGTAATAAAATAAGTAATTTCATTGAAATAAAGGCCTAACAAATACATTTTACATATTAAATAGAAAATGATTAATGGATTGTCATATGTTTGTGTTATTATTGACCCAAAACTCACGGCCCTAGCAACGAAACTTCTAGATGTGCTCCACTGTGATCAACTTGAGCCGCTTTGAAACGTGCTGTTTCAGGCCTGTATTTTTACGTATATTTTTCTATTTCATCATCATGAAGGTCCACAGGTCAAGGCAGGAAAACAGGAGCATGAGACAAACCCGCAGCATTTAGCTGGGTCAGTATAGTGTTTGGCAGAAGCTGTGTGGGCTTCCGTGTGCTCTGTGATCCCACCCTCCGACTGTGAGGGGTGTGCCTGTACAAAGGCTCAAATGCACTATTTCCTGGGGCCACACTGAAGAAATTAAAAGGAAGTCCACATGAGAAGTGAAACATTCTTCCCAGGGCACTGGACTTGTCTCTCACTGGTTTGGGGGCCCCTGCCTCCTCCGGTACGATGTTTTTCCAAAACTAGATCAAGAAGACCCAGCGCGGGATGAGCACTCTGCAAGGCTGTTTCCGGGTGCGTCTCACCGCGTGAGGCTGTTTCCGTGTGTGTATCACCGCATCACAGAAGGATGAGCACTCAGCGAGGCTGTTTCCGGGTGCGTCTCACCGCATCACAGAAGGATGAGCACTCAGCGAGGCTGTTTCCGGGTGCGTCTCACCGCATCACAGAAGGATGAGCACTCAGCGAGGCTGTTTCCGGGCGCGTCTCACCGCATCACAGAAGGATGAGCACTCAGCGAGGCTGTTTCCGGGCGTGTCTCACCGCATCACAGAAGGATGAGCACTCAGCGAGGCTGTTTCCGGGCGTGTCTCACCGCATCACAGAAGGATGAGCACTCAGCGAGGCTGTTTCCGGGCGTGTCTCACCGCATCACAGAAGGATGAGCACTCAGCGAGGCTGTTTCCGGGTGTGTCTCACCGCATCACAGAAGGATGAGCACTCAGCGAGGCTGTTTCCCGGTGCGTCTCACCGCATCACAGAAGGATGAGCACTCGGTGAGGCTGTTTCCGGGTACGTCTCACTGCATCACAGAAGGATGAGCACTCAGCGAGGCTGTTTCCGGGTGTGTTTCACCGCATCACAGAAGGATGAGCACTCCGCGAGGCTGTTTCCGGGTGTGTCTCACTGCATCACAGAGACCGCCAAACAGGTGTTACGGGGAGGGCATGTGACTGGGAAATGAAACGTAGTTTGATTTTGACGAAGCCAAAGTCAGAAAATTAATTTTTCAATGTATATTTCCTCTCTTAAGTCAGTCTTTGCCAATGAAATGTTGAGATAACTAGTAAATTCTCTCTTAAAACATTTCCCCCTCATGATGTGTACAACTGGCTGAAAGTGGATTCAAGATGTTTAGACAAATGGGAAAAAGTATGTTTTTACCAGGATAATTCAAACCTCGACCTCGCCCACTCCCTGGTTATTCTTGAATTCACACATGCGCAGTATTTTCAGCACACTTTTGAATGAGGAAACCTGGAAATAGGAAAAGTGGCTTTTTAAGTAAATATTTAAATACTTTCGTTAATGCAGAAGAATCAGATAAACTAATTCAGGCTTCAAAATAGTTTTCCTGGAATTATTCAATTTAACTCCTTTATAAAGTTAAATCAAATAATTGATAAATCTACTTTTTTTTTAAGTAGACACCTTCCATCAGAGCTTTTATGGGAACTCTACATATAACATTTTAGAAGGTGAATTTCTAGATTTATCCAAACCCAATTTAGATTTACAAAAATTACCAAAAAAAAAAAAAAAAGTTATTCTTTCCTTGGTGAAACCTTAAAGCTAGCATCCCAAAATAATTTTAAGAGCAGGAATTTTTTAAAAAACAATCTCTGTCTTAAATAATGTTTCCTACAAGCAAATCCTGAGAGGGGGATGTGGGAACACACGTTTTAGGAAAGAACCGAGAAGAAACCCCTTCGAGGACGGGGCGTGCAGGAGAGGAAGGGGGGGTCCTGGAAAACTGGGTCTCAGGACAAGTCCAGCCCAGAGCACGAAGCCAAAGTGCTTTTGCAGCTCGGACCCTGCTCTGAAGTGCCCTATGGTCAGTACTGGCCATTGTCTGGGCTGTGGGAAAAGAGGGCCTCCTTCTGCAGGGCAGGTGCCCTCGCTGGCCAAGGGCAGGCACCAGAGAGCAGGCCTGGGCCACCTCCATCCACAGCCACACTGTCCCTGGGAAGCAAAGGCAGCCAAGGGCTTCCTCAAGGATAAAACGCAGGCATCTGATGGAAGGAGAAATGAGAACTGGGTAGGAGACCGAGGCGGACATTGAACAGCGAAGTAGCAGGGTAGCAGCAGGGTCACGCACGGAGCATCCTAGGATTCTGAGAGGACACAGCTTGCGGAGGGGGAAGAGAAGGTGTTGAGTAGGTGAGCAAGGCCAGGACCTGATGGGGGACACCCTTGGGCCTGGTGCAGGGCGGGAGGTGGCACAGCAGGACTCACACTCGGGGTGGAAGAGCTAAGCACTGAGCACATATGGAAGCCCCCCGACCCTCTCATAAGATGGGAATATCAGAAAAGACACACAGGAGAGGAAGAGGAGGGGCTGCTGTTAACTGTTTAAAGTCACTTACAATTATTCATCACACACTATGAATTGTTTCAAAAGTCAAAATTCAGTTCGATTCCAAGCCATAAGGAATAGGAAAATTGTTTACATACAAGAGAATATTACCCGAGTCCAAACTGGAATTCAAAGTTGCCTTTTTGCAAAAACGATGAACAAGTTTCCCCCTAAAACATTAAACCTTCAGCATTTAGAAATGTGGGGTGGAGAGCAAGAGGGGGCCCATGGGGCTGCCATGGTTTGAACATTTATGTCCCTCCAAAATCCATGTTGCAAGGGAATTCCCAAAGTAACACTGTTAAGAGGTGGGGTCCAGGAAGTGATGAGGCCCTGAAGTCTTGTGGCTGGAAGGAAGCAACTGGGCTTTTCCCTCCCTCCCATCCATCTCCCATCCTTCCCCTACCCCTACCCTATCTGCCCTCCCACCCCTCCCCCATCCACCCTCCCACCCCTCCCCCCATTCCCCCTCCCATCCCTCTCCCATCCACCCCCATTCCCCCATCCACCCCATCCATCCCCCTATCTGCCTCCATCCCTCCCCACTCCACCCCATCCCTCCCCACTATCTGCCCTCTCACCCCTCCCCCATCCACCCTCCCACCCCTCCCCTTATCCACCCTCCCATTCTTCCCCCATCCACCCTCCCAATCCTCCCCCATCTGCCCTCCCCATCCACCCTTCCATCTCTCCCCCCATCCACCCTCCCATACCACCCGCACACTCCCTCCCATCCCTCCCCAATCCACCCTTCCATCCATCCCACCACATGAGGACAGGTTCTCATCCCCTCAGCGGGGTCCAGCAAGAGGCACCATCTTGACGTAGAGACCAAGTTCTCACCAACACCAAGTCTGCCAGCACTTGGATCTTGGCTTCCCAGCCCCTAGAACTGTGAGAGATAAGTTGCTGTTCTTTATAAATGACCCAGTCTCTGGTGTTTTGTTGCAGCAGCACAAATAGGCAGACAGAGAGAGGAGGCACGAGCTGCTTCTCCCAGGCCCGGGGCTGGCATCCTCAATGGAGCTCGATGCTGTGGCCCGTTGGGGAAGGGTCATTTTCAGGGAATCCCTGGTGAGGTTTGCATGGAGCTAGCTTTAATCAGATGAAAATGACCAGCTCTTTCCAAATTTCCTACAGCAAGGCCTACTCATGACACTCAGCTTCAGCCAGCTCTCCTGTCTCTTCAATGCCATGAGGCCACATAAGACCCCCAAATGCAAAGCAAGAGCATGGTCTGATTCAGACTCAGACTCCCCCGAACATGTGGAGATACAGGAAGGAGATGGATTGGAGATGTGTTTCATGTGAAAAATCAAAGATTCAATTAAGCTCAAACAGAAAGGAGAAAATTCAAAGGGAAGCCAAAGCTCTTTCCCCCATTAAAGCCTAAGTCCTCGGCTGGGCACAGTGGCCTGTGCTCGCTGTAATCCCAACACGTCGGGAGGCCAAGATGGGAGGATAACTTGAGGACAGGAGTTTGAGATGACCCTGGGCAACATAGCGAGACGCTGTCTCTGCAAAAAATAAAAAACGTAGCTGGACACAGTGGGGGGCACCTGTGATTCCGGTTACTTGAGAAGCTGAGGCAGGAGGATCTCTCAAGCCCAGGGGTTTGAGGCTGCAGTGAGCTGTGATCACACCACTGTACTCCATCCTGAGCAACAGAATAAGACCCTTTCTTGAAAAACAAAACAAAAACCTGACTCCTCTTAGGAAACGATACCATTTCTACACTAGATTTTTTTTTTAACAATCTTGTAACCATTTGCTCTCATGATTTTTGCTCTGTGACTTTATTCCCAAATTATTCTGCAAAATCCTCTGTGATACTCAAATCATGAAACAACTACATAAAAACGATTTTCCCAAGGCATGATTTTTTATCAAAAGATTTGGAGCACGCAGAGTCCCTGACATTAAGCTGCTCCCAGCATTGAAGAGCCCTCCTGATCTGGAGCAATAAAAGCATTTTTGTTAAAGTTTTTTTGCACTTTGAATGTCTTGCCTTTTGTTGATTGAAGCCATATTTCTGGTGTCATTTTAATAGTTTCTGTGTGCATTTTCATTATCTATTAAACTTGTAGTTTGATTATAGGTATAATGAATAATTTTTCTGTCATTTACATTCTAAAAGAAGTGCATTCATGAAATAGCATGCAATCTGACTTCACCATAAATTCTCTTCTTCGACATTCATTTGGTCAGATTCACAAAGGCTTAATGTCAGATTATTATTTCTGGCATTCACTCATCAGCACCTCCCCAAAATACCCTACCTTAAGATGTGATTCTCTGATACTCATACCAGAAATAATTATCATGACATCCGCTGGCTGATGGAGGCTTTTCATTTTGTTCTTCCGCAACACGTTTAGTCAAATGTGGGCACCAATTGCAAGATCACAGAAGCTGTATTTTTTGCTACAATGGGAGCATATACTCTCACTCAACAGTACTAAAGATTTAGTAGACGAAAAGGTGAGACTTACAAGGTCCACTTCAACATACAGGGCTGAGCTATACAGCTGCCCTTCCACGCACCCCCCCCCAAGATTTCAACCTATTGCGTGAGAGGTTCACTGTGGCCTAAAGTGAAGTTACATTAAATGACTGCATAAAATAAAGTATCTACCAAATACCTTTTCTTTCTGGATGAAATTCTTTATCTGCAAGGCTGGACTCAGCGTGCTCGGGGGAATGAGTAGGTCTACATGAACGGTGAGCCTCCAGGAACGCAGCTTCTCCATGGATTTTATCTTTTCCACTTCGTATTTGAATCTGAATGTACTGATGGGTGATCATTTGGAGGCAGAGTGCAAGATTCCACTCATTCTTCACTTCTCTCTCCTGAAATAATGGACACCCACCCATGCACACGCGATATAAAATACAAAATAATAAATATCAGTAGTAAAGAAAAATATCAACTTTTCTTAAATACTAGCTTTTCTTGTATATTTTTCCTAAAAATGCAAACTTCTCTTTATAGCTTATGTAAAAGTCCCAGGAAATGTTAAGCAAAGTTTGAAGGGGAGGATCTTTTTTTCCTACCGAGCACCACCCCCTCCCCACCTCCATCCCTCCTTCCCCACCCACCGCACCCACCCACAGAAAGTGCCTTGGTCGCCTGGAGCCTGGGGCAGAGTTTAAAGGAGCGATGAAAGTTCCCTGTACCCAGAAGGAAAAAGAGCTCCCCTACACCCCAGGAAGGTTCACAGATCCTCCCGAGGAAAATCAGCCTGGAATACTCACCCTGAAGGTTATAGGCAGGCGAGGAAGGCCCTGTCCTTCCAAACCCACTGTGGCTGGAACGGTGGGGAGAGCTGTGTTCTCCTCTCAGAAGGCGGCGTGGTGCTGCCCACTGCTGTGGTCCGTTTATCGGCCCTGGAATTGGACATTAATTAGCACTTTATTTGCTGTTGTGCTCCTTTTTCTGCAAATATTTCCTCTGGGGCCACAGCAGCCATTTCCTGCCCTTTCATCTTTCCCCACTCGTAATTGAACCCTGGGCCTCCTCAGCTGGGGACGCCGAATAGCCGGGCGGGGGAAGGAGCTTGAAGGGAGGCCCGTCTTCTCTCTGATCACAGCAAGAGTGAAACCTGCGCGAGGGGCTCCCGGATAAAAGGAATAAAGGTGAGATGTGACAAACTGAATTCCGCACGCTGCGTGTTTTTAAGCAGGGGAAGCTTAGGAGCTTGGCGTTTTCAGTTTGGGAGGCGTGCACACTGGCAGCTGTGCAGTGGCAGTAAATGGAAACAGTGAACACCACAAATGATGTGGCCACTGTGTCCCAGGCCCACTCCCCACGCCCCGTCCACACTCAGGCAGCCTGGCCTCAGTTGTTTCCGAGAGGAGACCCAGGCTGAATGTGTTCAGGGCGTCCTCAGAGACGCCTCGGCTCTTGGGGTGGTGGCAGCTGGCTTTTTGAACCCAAGAAGCTGAACCCAAAGTTATACTGGCCTCGAAATGAAGGAATAAATAGCTCATTAAGAAGCGCACAGAGTCACGACAACCACGCAACTGTCAAACACAGTGGGAGCGGACCCACTCCACAGATGCACGCCCGTCACGTGGGCTTCCGGGCTTGCAGGAGGAGGGTCACAGATAAATGTTCTGTCCATGGTCCATGAAGGCACGTGGTCCTGTGTCATACCGGGAGCTCTGAGGGTCCTCATGCATCCTCTGGAAAACAGAAAACAAAACACAAAGGCACTGGGGTCATGGCGACCCGGTTTGATAGCACACCCTCAAGTTGTATCCAAGAGTGTTCACACAGGTAAACACCCCAATGTTCATTCCAGTTCACATAATTTATTAAACCAGCTATGAAAAATGCCAGCAGATGGAACCCCCTTCTCATTCTGAAGACGTCCAATTCAGGTATGAGGAGAGCACCAGAAATAGAACAGAATGTGTTTCTTGCTTCATCTCTCAAGCATTCCCTCCCAAACACAAAACGTAGAGGGGATTCAGGGAGGCAACTCTGCCAATCATTTTGTTTAAACATGAAAGGTTGCAAGAACCACCGCTCACCAGCGAGGAGAAAGTTCTCGTCAATCATATTAACCACTATTATTTTAATGTGGAAAGTTTCATAGTGAATGCGAGTTTAGGCGGTGCCTCTTTATCTCCTTAGATCTGAAAATAGTTAAGAAACTCCAGTAAAGGTTTATTTTTCTTTTGATCTTAGTCTTAGGAAATAAGCCATATGTAAGGCCATTTCCGTCTGAGGGTTCACGAATTTCCTCATCTAATACAGTTCTGCCAGGGGAAGGCTGAATAAATTATTATATCAATGTAAAAGTAGTAAACACTTTTGTGGTGCAGTTTGCGTGTTTGGCCCCTTCCACCACCCACTTGTGAGACGCTGCCCCCCGCTCTCGGGAAAGCACCTCCACTTCTCTGTCAGCACAGCAAACTTCTCTGGAGAAGCCTGAGTGCATGCGTGGAGCTGCTGCCCCCAGCTTCTCCGCGGTGGGTCTGTTCGAGCCCCATCTGCTCCCTTAGGCTGGGTGCTGCAGCCCCCACCAGCCCCTCAGGTCCTGCTGCGGGTCACCTCTCAGGATGGATGCTGTCACACCAGAGTCCATGCCCCGTGCTACAGACAGAGCCGTGTTCCCCAAAGAGATGTATGGACGTCCTACCCACGGTGTCGGGGATGTGACTGGAAATAGGGCCATCAAATGCCATCAGTGAGTTAAGACGAGGCCACAGTGGAACGCCAGGTGAGTGGCGACTTCACGACATGAGGGAAACGTGGGCGCAGACACGGACACCGCAGGAAGACGCGGAGGCAGGGCTAGACTGAGGCTCTCGCAAGCCCCGGAGCCGGAGGACCAGAGCTGGGGGAGGCAGGGAAGGGTCCTCCCTGGAGCCTCCGGAAGGAGAACGATGAGGTTAAATGTCTGTGGTTTAGACCATCTGGTCCGCGGTGCTGGGCACAGCAGCCCCAGGCTCCTCATGCCCCGCCCCAGGCACTGGTGCTCCTCTTGGGCCTCCTCTGGGAGCTGCATCCTGGCAGGGTCTGTGCAAAGGGGCCATGGGACCGCTCCCCATCCATAGTCACAGTGTCTCCAGTGACACATGCATTTGTATCCGGATGTCTCTGTTCAGCCTTAGTCCCGTCTCCTCGCGAGGCTCGGGGGAGTCTCCGGTAGCTAATGCTACATCCAGCGCAGAAAAGCCTCTGTCAGGACGCAAGCACATGGAGCGACACGCTGCGGCCCAGCTCTCCAGCTTCCTAGGAGCTCACGCAGCTAGTGTTCTCCAGCCCTCATGCACGTGGACCCTGGTGGGACGGGCCTTTCTGTGCCGCTGTTCCACCACCTAGGCTCAAACCGCAGCCCCCACGCCCCTCCCAGGAATCCCCGCCATGGGGTCAGCTCCTGAGGGCCCCGTTTGTGTCTGTCCACCCCTCAGCAGAAAGTCAGGCCACACTGGTAAACAATTGCCAAACTGAACCACTGCCCTCAGAAGTAAGCAGATCAAAGTTGTATTACCTTTGATGAGGAAATGAGGTTTAAGATATCACATGGTTTACAGTTAAGACCCTGTGGGGAGGAGCTCTATTCTTACACAACTTTGTGTCCTGAGTTTGTACATTCCCTGGGTGACAACCAGCAAGGGGGGCGTTAAGGAATGGTGCTGAGCACCAGCTCGCTCACCTCCCTCCCCTAAGAGCCTGGGAAAATGCACCATGAAAATTACCTGGAACCACAGAAGAGACTCGAGTTCCCTCCCATCAAAGAGCCTCCATTCTTTTTTTTTTTTCTTTTTCTTTTATTTTTTTAAGATGAAGTCTCGCTCTGTCACCCAAGCTGGAGTGCAGTGGCACGATCTCAGCTCACTGCAACCTCCGCCTCCAGGGTTCGAGCGATTCTCCTGCCTCAGCCTCCTGAGTAGCTGGAATTATAGGTGCACGCCACCATGCCCAGCTAATTTTTGCATTTTTAGTAGAGACGGGGTTTCACCATGTTGGTCAGGCTAGTCTCAAACTTCTGACCTCATGATCCGCCTGCCTCGGCCTCCCAAAGTGTTGGGATTACAGGTGTGAGCCACCACGCCCGGCCAAAGACCCTCCATTCTAAGACAAGCGACATTTACAGGGATTCACGCAAACTGAGATGCTTCAGTGAAAACATAACTGCTCATGCTCCATGTCCTTTTATGGCGTCGTTCTTCCCCCGAGTGGATGGAGTTTCTCCTATGGCAGAACCCTTACTTCCCGACACGCCTTCCTCTCTGAGAGCAGGAAGGAAAACCCATTGTTCACCTCCAGCCCTTTTCCATTTTCCTTATCTCAAGGTTTTGTGGGAGGTTGGAGTTTTTCTTTTTTCAGGATGGGGGACGTGGGAGTGCACCACTCAGACCAGGAAAACACGGAGACACCTGCCTGGGTTTGCAGAGCCATCTTACAAGACCTGAGTGTTCCCCAAAAATCAAAAGTCTGTGCCATTACAGGCTGTAAACTCACTGTGAGCAAACTCACTTCACCACCACATTCCACCCGCTGCTGCCCACCTCAGGGCCTTGATGCGGTGCTCATGGTGACCAGGAGCACAGATTTGGCCAGGTCAGTTCCTGTTAGAGGAGGCCAGGACGCCCTGGAGAACACTCTCTTGGGAATACAGGGAGGGAGCAAGGGCAGGGCCCCCTGGCAGGCCCCGATGGTGCCGAGAGTGTCCCACACTTTCCAGGAGATGTGCACCCACGACAACACGGTACAAAAGGCACCGCCTGGAGGCCCAGCCAAGCTCCGCTCCAAGAACTAGTTTGCCAAACTAGACCACTCACCCTCCTTCCAAAGAAGGAAGTAAGGAATCCAAGAAGGACCGCGATTTGCCTGGGCTCTTGGGGCGAAGGTGTGATTCAGCACAAGGCCCTTAGGAGCCCGTGGCCCCTGCTCTCCCACCCTTCCTCTGTTTGTTTCTACACTAACTTCTTTTTTATTTCTCTACAGAATGCAAACGGTAGCAGATAGAAGGGCTTGGGATGCGGTGCCATGGAAGGGAAAGATGGGAATTTAAATCCAGGCCATCTGGAGCTGGTCCTGTTTCAGCCCCTGGTAAAGACAGATCACTTCCTTTCCTGAGCCTCCATTTATTTATCTTAAATACAGACAGTGCTTGAGTCACGGATGTCCTGAATGTTCGAGCTCGAAGGAGCCTCGGCCATTGCATGTCCCACCCACCCACCGTTCAGTCAGGAAGCCAAAGCCCAGAGGAGTGATGTCTCAAAGTTCACAGAACATGGCCTAGAATTCAGGGATACAGAGCGCCTGCTTGGTAACTTATCCCCTGTGTGGTGATGCTTCCGATCCCACAGCAATGCTATGCTTCTCCAAGACAGATTCCAATCCCACTGCAATGCTGGGCTTCTCCAAGACAGATTCCAATCCCACCGCAATGCTGGGCTTCTCCAAGGCAGATTCTGATCCCGCAGCAATGCCACGCTTCTCCAGGGCTGGAGCAGAGCACATGCCGAATGAAATGTATTTGGCATCTTTGTGACCTACCAGACTCCTCACGAGATGAGTGAAGCATATTGATTCACGCATCTAATGGAATTTTCGGCACTGCTCTGCTGTATCCTCACCTGTGTCTTCACCATGATGGAACCCTGGACCCACATCCTACCTTCTTCAGTAAGAGGAGCTGCCACAGCAGGAGGCAGCCACATGAGCAATGGATTCGCTGAGCCCACCTCACACCCGCAGGACCCTTCCCGGGCCACAGCCTCTGCAGTCGGCTCCCAGTCTCCTGTACACACTGTCTATTAACCCCAAGAAAAGAGATGAAGAACATCGCAGTAAACAGAGGCCATCGCTGCAGCTCCTCTGCCCTCTGCTGAAAGTCCCTAGGCACCCAGCAGAGTTTCCAGGTCCACCTCTCCACCTTCCATTCCTTGGGTGTCCCTGGCAGGTTAGAGGTTAAAACAGACAGAGCAGCTGGGGTGGGCAGGGTTCCTTTGCTGATAGGAAAGTGCCACCAATACCACAGTCAGAGGTTCAGGGAAACATCCCCCAAGGACGGGCATGCCTGGGAGGGACCAAGTGGCCAAGGGCAGCACGCCCCAGCGGGAACGGTGGACCCCAACCGGGTTTGATTGGGGCTGGTGATTCCTCTACCCCTGGGGCAGCCACACTGTGAAGAGAGGGGAGGCTGTGTCCACATGGAGGTGCAGGTGCTCCTACTCAGAGGAGGAAACACACTTTAGTGTAGGCCGCGGGAAACTTTGTTCAAAACAGTTCACAGCTTTCTTGTGTTTTTAATAATCTTTCAAATGTTTCAAGTCCAAGGTCAGGAGCTGTGGACAGCCTGTCGAATGTGCTTTGCTCGCCCACCCAGTTGTGGAGACACCCCCACGCCATCGACTGAGCCAGGCCAAGGCCTTTTGTTCTCTCTGCAGCGGGTTCACCAGGGGCACGGAGGCCTCGGGACCCTCCCTCAGGTCTGCAGTGACCTCTCAGGACCCTCCCCCCAGATCTGCAGTAACTTCCCAGGACCCAGCCCCCAGGGTCTGTAGTAACCTCACAGGTCCTCCCCCAGGGTCTGCCATAACCTCTCGGGCGCCTCCCCCAGGTCTGCAGTGACCTCTCGGGACCCACCCCTAGGTCTGCGGTGACCTCTCGGGACCCACCCCTAGGTCTGCGGTGACCTCTCAGGACCCTTCCACAGGTCTGT